CCCTGGCCCCACAGGTTCCCCACCCCCCATCATCCCTGGCCCCCATGGTCTCCCCACTCCCCATCATCCCTGGCCCCCATGGTCTCCCCACTCCCCAGGGCCCCACTGTCTCCCCCCAGAACAAAGTTAAGCACTGGCCTGGCACAACGGCTGCTGGCTCTATCCAAGGGTTCTCAAACTGGGGGTCGGGACCCCTCAGGGGGTCGCGAGGTCATTACATGGGGGGGTCACGAGCTGTCAGCCTCCACCCCAAACCGAGCTTTGCCGCCAGCATTTAGAATGGTGTTCAATATATAAAAAAGTGTTTTTAATGTATAAGGGGGGGTCGCACTCAGAGGTTTGCTGTGTGACAGGGGTCACCAGTATGAACGTTTGAGAACCACTCTCTAAAGACAACACGGCCGCCAGCCGCGGAGAAGTAAGGATGGCTGGTATATGGTATATTGCCACCCTTACTTTGTGCTGCCCTGTGCCCCCCTGTGCCCCCAACCCCCGCCCTAGCCCTGTGCTCCCCGTGCCCCTAACCGCTGCACTCCCCTCCTGCACCCCCAATCTCGGCCCTGTGCCCCCGCACCCCTGCCCTATGCCCCCCCATGCCCTCACCTCTGCCCTGTGCCCCCACCCCCTGCACTCCCCTCCGCCCCTCCAACCCCTGCCCTGTGCCCCCCCCCCCCGTGTCCCCAACCCCCGCACTCCCTTCTGCGCCCACATGGGGAAACTGAGCTGGTTGCACCGAGCGTCTGGCACTGCTGCTCCCTCCCTCCTCCAACGATGCTCCTCGGGGCCCCTAGAGGGCTGTGAAGGGGGGAACGAGGAGCAACATCAGGGCTTCCCACAGCCAGGTCACTTTCCCCACCTGGGCTGCAGAGAGCAGCAGGTCCTGATGCCTCGCAGCACAGCCCAGGTGAGGAAAGTGACCTGGACACGGAGCGCTTGTGTTGCTCCTCCCGGCCCCAACCCCCTAGGGGGCCTGGAGGGCGGTTGTGGGGAGTGAGTGGTATCTGGGCAACACCACTCCCCTCCCACCCCAGAGCAGGGAGAAATCTGGGTGCCCCCCCCCATCGCCTCTGCCAGCCAGCAGTACGCACCTCTGCACAGCTGCAGGGCACCTCCTGGGTGGCCCACCCCTAAGGCTGGCCCTGGAGCCGCCGAGGGAGCCCAAGCCACTGTGGGAAGCCCCAGACCCTCCACCTGCCCTGGGTGGTGCTCTCCAGGAGGGCAGGCCGGTGGCTGTTCTCGGGTCCCCCCACCCAGGGCAGGTGGCGGGTCCAGGACTCCCCACAAGCGACCCAGGGTCCCCGGGCAGCTCCAGCTTATGGCCTGGCCAGGGGGTGGGCCCCAGGCAGAAGAGGAGGAGCAGGGGGCAGGGCCACACTTCAGGCACTGGTGGGCCCCCCCTTCTACACAGGTTCCGGCGCTCCTGCAGGAGCCCCCAAATTGACCAAGGCCTCTGGGCACAGGCCCCGTGGGCCCATGTGTTAATCCGACACTGGGGGAGACTGCGGGGTGCCTGGTACTTACGGCGAATGGAGCTTCGGAGAGGCCCTTCCTCCTCGTCTGGCTCACCAGTCCTGGGGGGACAGCAGCATTACATGGGTCCCTGTGCTCTCAGCCCCCACAGCCCGTGCCTCTCACTCCCAACCCAGCAATGGGCTCCCCTCCCCCACCGCTCTGCCGGAGCCCCTCACTCTTGATCTGCAGCCCCCTGTTGTCCCTAGGGTGCGTTGCTGGCCGGGGGGGGGGGTAATTTACCTTTGTTGCTGGTTAAATTTGCAACGGCAGCGTCGACCTAGAAAAGATAAAACAGTAAATACCCCCTGGCAACGAGATGGCGGGGCAGGGGGCGGCGAGATGGGAGGCCAGGACTCCTGGGTTCTATCCCGGCTCCAGGAGGGGAGAGGGGTCTGGTGGGTTAGAGCAGGGGGCTGGGAGCCAGGACTCCTGGGTTCTATCCCGGCTCCAGGAGGGGAGAGGGGTCTGGTGGGTTGGGGCTGGGAGCCAGGACTCCTAGGTTCTATCCTGGCTCCAGAAGGGGAGTAGGGTCTGGCAGGTTGGAGGTGCTGAGTAGTAGTTAATGAAACGGGGCTGGGGGAACAGTGGGGGTTAGCCATCTCCCTCCCTCCCCCCCCGGCAGATACAGATGGAGCCAAAGCTCTGGATTTATGGGGCTGAAGGGACCTGGTGTCCAATCAGCCCCAGGGACAGCACCTAGAGGAACCAGCCCCCTAAAACTCCCCCTCCTCTCTGGCTGAGCAACTGGCTGGCTCAGGGGGATGGGACATGGGGCCTTTTCCCTCCAGGGGGCGCTGGATACTCACTGAGGATGATGAGGATTCCCAGCAGAAAGAGGATGACGGCGAATATGAGGCCTCCAATTCTCAGGGATTGATAGTCTGGGGGGAGAGACGGGCTCAGGGGGAGAAGGGACCTGCCTCCCCCCAAAAGAGACACACTGATACACAACCACTGTACATGTGTGTGTCCCTGCCGCCCCCTGCTGGAGGGGCTGGGCCCTGCTCTGTGTGTGTCAGTGCAGACATGCACTGCTCCCTGCTGTCAGACCTGAGATGCTGCAGCTGGCCCCGAAGAGAGACCTAATCTCAGTGCACCAGACAGACGCCTCCCTCCCAGCAGGTGCCAGCACCTGGCCTAGCTCAGCAGCCGCCCGCCCTGGGACCCTCCAACTCACCGTAGATAAAGGGGTCGTGCTCCTTGGGAGGCTCTGAGAGAGAGAGAGAGAGAGAGAGAGACAGGCATTAAGGATCTCTCTGTCCTGGGATTCAGAGATGCTAGAGACACAGAGTGCACTCTAACCTCTCTGCCCCCCCTGCTCTAACCCCTATGGCCCCAATCCCCTCCTAGTGCCAAAGAAAGAACCCAGGAGTCCTGATCCCACACACCCCCTCCCAGAGCTGGGGACAGAACACAGGATTCCTGGCGCCCAGCAATCCCCTCCCCCTCCTCTAACCACTAGACCCCACTCCCAAGCCATGGACAGAGAGTCCTGCCCCTAGGGCTGGTCTAACGTGAACACTTCCCTGGGAGTAGCTACATTTCTGAGGGGTGTAAAAGACACCCCCCTCCAAAAGCCGCAGTGAAGCCGACCCCAGCCTGGTGCAGCCAGCACTAGGCAGACGGGCCAACTCTTCCCTTGCCCCGCGACTGCTTGTTGGCGGGGTCCCCCCCATGCTGACCAGGGAGCCCCGTGGGCACCGCAGTGAGCATCTGCCCTGACACACTGAGCCTACTCCCCTCACCTCCTGGGGCCCTTCAGGGGGTGCTGGCTCCCATCCAGCCCCAGGGTGGGGGACTGGCTGGCCCAGGGAATGGGTGCCAGGGTCCCACAGGGTGTCTGGGGCAGAGCTGGGATTAGAACCCAGGGGTCCTGAATCCTAGTTCACTGCTGTAACCATTAGACCTCCCCAGGCCACACACATACAGCCCCCCACCACTGCTGGGATTAGATCTCCCCCTCCCCCTGCTGCCGGGATTCCTCCCCCCTTCCCCCCGCTGCCCCTTCCCCCGCTGCTGGGATTCTTCCCCCCTCCCCCCTGCTTGCCCCTCCCCCGCTGCTGGGATTCCTCCCCTACCTCCCCCCCCCGCTTGCCCCACTGTCCCCTCCCCCGCTGCAGGGATTCCTCCCCCACACACTCCATTGCCCCTCCCCCGCTGCTGGGGAGGGGACAGTGGGAATATTGGGTCTGAGCCTATAACACTGCTCTACAGCCAAAATGCTTCTGAAATAAATGTAGTCAAACTTTACTAATTCTGGGTCACTGAGA